CAAGAGGGGACTGGAATGGGGGGGTGGATTCCAGCACAGGAGGATTCTGGGGGCAGGGCAGGGCAGGGGTAAAGAGGATCTGAGAAGAGAAAGGCCTGGGGACCTGGGGGTGCGGATGGGAGGGGGGAGCTATAGCCAAGGGGGGCGGGAAGGGGTGAAGATCCCAAGGGAGAAGGTGCTGCATGGTGTGGAGGGAAGGGGCCTGGAGTAGAATTGGCTGAGGGTGCATGGTGGGGGGTGGGGATCCCAGCACAGGGCTGAGTTGGTGGAGGGGCCGGAGGGCAGAGGTGTGGATCCCAGCAGAGGGAGCTGGGGGCTGGTGTGGAGGGGCTGGGGGAGGGGGTCACTCACAGACAACATGGAGCTGGATGGTTCTGCGGGTGGAAGGTCCCCATGATGGCCTGTAGCTGGTGCTGCAGATGAGCTCTTTGCCGTGGTCCCCCAGGGTGGGTGTGAAGCTGAGCACAGAGCTGTGGGCCCAGGTGCCGTTCGCCAGCGGGGCTGAGACGTCCTGGGCTGTGTCGCTGAACGGCCCCGTCCAGGTGACTCGGGGAGGGGTCCCGGAGCAGCGCCCAGGGGCCGTGCAGGTCACAGTCACTGGCTCCCCAGCCAGCAGCGTCGCTGGCAGCCCCCGTGCCGGTGAGATCTGGATCTCTGGCTCCTCCGTCAGCCCTGAGACATGGGGAGAGAATCATTCGGGGACACGGGTCCTTTGCCCTCTAGGGGCACGGCCCCAATCTGGCCCCAGGGTGGGGATTGACTGGCTCGGGGGGGCTGCTGAGCGGTGACTGCAGCTTCTCTTACCTGGCACGGAGATTGTGAGCATTGCGTCAGTGCCATCGGAATTGGAGCGGTAATTGTATTTCAATGTTCCTTTCTCGAATCTAAAGAAATATCTCCCCGCATCCGTCTGTTGGGCATCGCTGATTTGCAGGGAGCAGTCGCCACTTAGCAGATCCCCCGCCAGCCGGAACCGGCCCTGGGTCTCCTGCGACACCCTCCGGCTGGAGTCAGTGCTGGCCACGGGTGGCTCAGAGTCCACAATGGCTGGATCCTTGTACCAGTATCTGAAGAGCTGGGCCCAGGAATTGTAGGTGTCATACGAGGCTGGGTACGTGAAGGTGCAGGGGATGAGAACACAGAGACCCTCCTGCACCGACACCAACTGCGGCACTGCCAGGGTAAATCCGGACTGCTGGGACAGGGACCCTGCAGGGGATGGAGAGAGATTGAAGTGGGACCCATAGAGAGCAGAGACCAACCCTGAGCTCCCCACACAGCTGTGCCGGTGCCCCTCACTCCCAACCTGCAGCCCCTTGCGAGCCTAGCCCTGGGTCCTTGACCAATTCTCACTCCATTTCCTTTCCAGCCTTCCCTACATTGAGCCCCCTGCCCGCTCCCTCAGCCCCCCTCCCCCCCCCAGCACCACTCTGGGGAATTGGGCTCCCCTCCCCCTCTGGCCAGTCTCCCTTCCAAGTTCTGGGACAGACCTGGCACCGCTTAGCGCAGGTTCTGCCCTTCCCCCTGCACTGGGGCTGCAGGTGCCG